CCCCACCCAGCCCCCTGCCCACCCCCTCCTCCCTGTTGCCACCTGGGAGCTCCCCTCCAGTTGAAGCTCTCGCAGCCTTGGAAGGATGCACCGGGGGGCAGGGGGCTGGGTGGGGCCTGGCTGGGGCCAGCATCTCTCCGCACCCTAGGCCAGCAGGACAAGGTGAGGTGCTTCTTCTGCTACGGGGGCCTGCAGAGCTGGAAGCGCGGGGACGACCCCTGGACGGAACATGCCAAGTGGTTCCCCAGGTACCAGCTGTCCCCGTGGGGCCCCGGGTCTGATCACGGGTCAGGGGTGGGCCCCAAAGGGCTCTGTCGACCCAACACCAGGTCTGCTTTGCCTCCCTGGCCCTACAGGGCACTGGGGTGGCCCCTCTGTGGATGGTGCTTCCGACCGGCAGGCACCCACTTTTCCTGTGAGGGCCCCTGTTCGGAAGGGCTGCTGGGGGCAGAAGTGCCTCTCCTATGGGACTACCCTGAAGCCCCACGGAGGTGTCTCCAAGGCAGCCCTCCTCGCCCATGCCCACGGGCACTGCAGGGCGGCGGGAGGAGGGGGCCCAACCCCAACCCCCGGGGATCCAAGGGCTTGAAGCGGACGGTGGGGGCCCTGAACCCCAACCTGCATCTGTGGGGGCGTCTGCAGCTGCCAGTTCCTGCTCCGGTCAAAAGGAAGAGACTTTGTCCGCAGTGTGCAGGAGACTCACTCTCAGCTGCTGGGCTCCTGGGTGAGCGCCACCTCCCCTCGGGGCTCCGGGCGGCAGTGGGGTCCTGCCCCTCCTATTTCCCCAAGGCACCGACGGTCTCTGGCTCCTTCCAGGACCCGTGGGAAGAACCGGAAGATGCAGCCCCTGTGGCCGCCTCCGGTGAGAGCCAACACCCTACTGACTCCTTGGGCACCTGCAGCCTGTGCTTGGCCAAGGCCACTGGGTGTCCCCACCCTGCCAGACAGCAGGGAGAGTGACGGGCACGTGACCGGGTGTGAGGCTGCTGCCTGGGTTGGCTTCATGGGGGCTGTGCCGTGTGAGGTGGCGCGGGGCGGCAGGGGCCTCTGCCAGTGCCAGGTCCCCATTCTGCTTCTCTCCCAGCTCACCCCCTGGGCACAGCCCGTCGCCCCTCACCGCACCACCCCCAACAGTGCCCAGCACACAGTGTCTGCAGCCACTGCCAGATGGGCTGGATGTGCAGAGGGCCTTGGACAAGGGGCAGGCTCTCTGGTGGCCCCTCCAGGAAGCCTTTGGATCCTGTTATGCTGTGGGAGGGGTGGGAAGAAGTGTCGGGAGCGGGGATGCTCTGCAGTCCCTCCACTCCTGGCCAGAACTGGACCCCACAGGCTGCGGACCTGTCTCTGGGCCGGCCCGGCTTCCGCTTGGGAGCTAGGCCTCAAGTCCATCCTAACTGTCCACAGTCCCTGCCCCTGGGGACCCTGAGCTGCCCACGCCCAGAAGAGAGGTCCAGTCTGAAAGCGCCCAGGAGCCAGGTGCAGGCCTGGGACCCCCTGGGGTGGGGGCTGGGACAGGGGAGGGCTGATGGCACCTGAAAGGCTGGGTAACGCCAACCTTCCACAGGCTGCAGAGGGCAGGGGCCAGGGTGCGGGGACACTTTGCAGGCCTGTCCTCCTAGGGGGAGCCAGTCCAGCCCAGGCCCAGAGCGGGTGATGGGTTCTTGAGCCCCCAGGAGCCAGGGACGTGGAGGAGCAGCTGCGGCGGCTGCAGGAGGAGAGGACGTGCAAGGTCTGCCTGGACCGTGCCGTGTCCATCGTCTTTGTGCCATGCGGCCACCTGGTCTGTGCTGAGTGTGCCCCCAGCCTGCAGCTGTGCCCCATCTGCAGAGCCCCCGTCCGCAGCCGTGTGCGCACCTTCCTGTCCTAGGCCAGGTGAGCGTCCCAGCACCACGCACAGCCAGCCCTCCTGCGGAGATGGCCCTGAGCCGGCCGTGCCCGGCCCTCCTGAACCCACAGCAGGCCCTTCCCGGGTGGCATCGTCAGCCTGTCCTTACTCCGCTCACCAGGCCCCACTGATAGCACCCATCAGTCTTACTACCTGCCTTGACGCTTAGGTTGGGGCCTGGTCCTTCTCAGCACCATGCCCTGGCAGCCACCACAGCTCTGCCCGCCTGTGTTAACTGACGCCTGCTGGCTCCTCTCGGCCTTGATTTTCTTCAGTGGTCAAGGAAAGCCGGCTTTGGAGGCGTTTGGGGAAACAGAGTGGGCCAGTTTGTGCTTACACAAGCAAGACACCAGCCTGGCCTTAAACCGGGGCCAAGGCACGGTGGGAACGCCTGCACGGTGGGAACGCCTGCACGGTGGGAACGCCTGCATAGGAAGGGGGCGTGTGAACCTGTTCTTAGAGAAGTGGGTGGGATGCCCCAAGCTGGCCGAGGGACAGGTGCTGTGACTGCCTCGGGGCTCTCCAGGGCC